CCCCACCCCGCCGCCCACCTCAAGCCACCGAATGTGGAAACCGTTTAGCTCTGCGGTCCGGTCCCAGCTACATCGAGACTCCCTGGGGTTTCAAACCAACACAAGCCAATCCGGTGGCTGACAATGACTGGGTTTCTGGAGTATGCTTCCTCACCTCTGTGAGACGTTCTTCGAAACAACTGGCCTGGCCTCAGAACATCTTCCACTGAGGGGCAGAGCCAGAATTTGAACCCAGAGCAGGCTGCGCTTGACCTCGGCCGCTTGGGGCCCTTCCCTCAGGCAGGCAGGTAAAGCGTGGAGGTCTGTTTTGATTTCTAAAATTCACACTGCCCAGCCCCTGCTGGGCCTGGTACCCAGAGATCCACAGTAGTAAATGAAAGATTGGGACTTTGAGAATGGTTCTTTTGCAAGGCCCAGGGCTGGGAAGGGTTAAGAGAGAGTTTGTGAAGGGTGGAGGAAAAGGGAGGACCTGGCCAGTACCTCCCCCAAGAGGCCAACTTTAGCCTCCTAATTACAGGTGACATGAATGTCCCTCTCTGGAAATAGGGCTGCTGGACACTGGCTGGGGGAGGTTGAGTGGGCACCCAGGGGGAGGGTTAGCACAGGGTCTCCCCAGCTGGACTCAGGGGTCTGGGGCTTCTAGCCACCACCATCTACTAGGCAAATGGCAGAGAATCATGGGGCCTCCTTGGTCAGCAGGGAGACTTAAGGGGGAACCAGTAGGATTTGGAAGGGATGACGGTGCCACTCTCGGGTGAAGAATTAGGGAGACGAATGCATGGGGTGGGGGTGGGGGGCAACCCTGGGGTTGTGTGTGCAGGCCCCCTCCCCCGATTCCGGATTCCCCAGTCTCCCACCCTGCCCGCCTACCTGGCGGCCCTCACAGGCCCTTAGTGCCTCCTCCAGCTCCCGACGGACACGGTTGGCCTGGTTCAGCTGTCTGGCCAGGGCCTCCTGGCGTTGGGTAGCCTCTGCCAGCTGGCGCCGCAGCTCCTCGACCTCTGGCGCCAGGTCCCTGGGGGGCGCCGTGGCGTTGGCACCTGCCTCCGGGCAGCGAGGTCCCCGGGAGGCCGAGGAGGCCAGATTCCAGGCCAGCAGGGCCCCGCCGGCTGCCGCGGCCGCCAGAAACACCGCAGCCCCGCACAGGGCTAGCACCCGCCAGGCGCGTCCCGGCTCTGGGCCCAGCTCGGCCATGCCTCCGTCCACAGCTCTGGCCCCAGACAGCCACGAGCATTTAATTGGCACCTTGGGGCGCCAGGGACACCCACGGCTCCGCCCTGCCCGGCCGTGGCTTCCCGAGTGCGTTGGGAGGGGCTGGACCCCCGCCAGGGGCCAGCCTAGGCTACCCGCGCCCAGGACCGGACTGGGGGTCCTGGGTTCCAGTTCTGCCTCCGCATCGCATGTGCCCAGCACAGCACGTGCTGTCCTCTCATCCTCAGTCTCCCCCACTGAAGTGGGGGTGCTCTGGCTCCTGCCCCATCGGGCTTAGTGGGAACCATGTGAGCCCATCCTCACAAAGCGCCCATTTGCATGCGGGGCCCACGGCAAGGGTTTTTTCGTGGAAAAACTGAGGCTGAAAGACGCGAGGCTACACGACCGACGGAGGTCTGCCTGGCTCAAGCTGCCACACTTTCTGGGACTGGCTGCGAGGGCCAGAGAGGGTGAGACGCTGGAGGGGATGGGTCCCAACTCCCAGCCCCTTCTCCACTAGGCAGCCAGGGGGCGATCTGACACTGTAAATCAGCTCCAGCCCCGTTTACCTCGAGCCCAAGAACAAAGGAAAGGAAAGAGAAACCAGTGGTTGGCTTATAGACATCACAGCCATGCAGGACAGGTGTCTCCTTCAGTTTGTGGGGAACTTAATAAACTGCAAGAAAAAGGCAGTCTTGTCCATAGCCTAATCTCCAGAAGCCTATAGACTCCATTTCCTGGAGCCCTAAAATCACCCTCATCGAGACGTAAGGGGGGGTTTAAGTGCTTGCCCCGGCGATGTGGGAAACTAAGGCAAATGAAAAATTAAATTCCCTTACTGCCTGCGGCCCGTTGGCGAGCCCTTGAAACAGGCAGAGTGACCTTCCTCTAGGAGCTCAGCTGCCTTGATGATGACACTTTGCTGGGGGCAAAAGAGAATCTTGACTTAACGTTATCCTGACCCCCCAGGATCCTGTGAGTCTCCTTAAACACATAAAAATTCCTTCGCAAACCTCCTATATCCTTAGCCCCCAAGTCTATGCTGGCAATCATACTCCAAGCACATGGCCCCTGATATACATCCGAAGGGTCTCACGACTGAAGCTTTACTAAAGTTTTACTAAACAGTAAATAAACGGCGTTTTCCTAACAACACCTAGAATGACTTCCACGTGCTTAAAGAGGGCTCCCAAGATACCACAGGCCTGGCTATTGTCAAGCCGAGGTTGTTTTTTCCTCTAGTAAGGCATTAACATGAAGACAGTAGGGAGTTCTGTAGAAATGTCTTACTCTGCCTGCCTCTAGTATGTCAATGGGCTGCAGGTTATAAGGAAACTGAATTTTATTTACCATTTCCTTCCTGCCTTTGTTC